AAGCTTTCGCTTCTAGGTATAGTTGGGTGATATGTGATTCGGTTTTTACCTATACAGATTGTTTGCCCAATCGTTACATGAAGGACCAGTGAATGGCAATATAGCTATAGAGAGGCTGATTCGGTCGGCTATCGTACGTATACGCCAGTGTTGCCAGGTCAAGAATGAGATAAGCGATATAGACATGAAAAAGCAGTAGATTTTGACCCACATATTAGTTTCAAATAGAAACGGTTCATCATTACAAAACTCCTCATCCATATTCGATTCACCATTTTGAATCTCCAAATTTCGAGTAGAATCATATAATCTCCGACTACAAAAACCCCCAGATACTGATTTTCAATAGAATCTGATCATCATTACAAATATTGTCTGCCATATTGAATCCGCCATCTGGAATTTCTAGTTCAAAAAACAGCTCACGACCGATTGTCAGACCTGCCAAAAATATGCAAAAAATGAGAGAATCGATCAAGCCGCCGTTGCGGAGGAGTTTAGCAACAAACACCCTGACACGAGCATCTTGGATACTCATTAGATCTTGATAATAATCAAATCTGAACCAAATCAAATAATGAAAGCTTGTTATCCAGGTATGACAAATTGTTGTTGAATATATATCTGTATCAAATATTATTCGAATGTCATCGAAAATGAAGGAAATTTAGCAATGACCTTGATCTCTTTGTCACCCTGTGAGTATACGATATTATTTATAATTATATATATATTCATCAATTTGAATAGTATCCAAAGCTTGAATATGTTTATCACCACAATGAGTAAAGGTACCTATTTGGACTTTTATCACATGCGTTTCAGTAAGAAAGTTCAATGATAACCGGTTCAATTTTGACATCTTGACGGTGGAAACGATGCATTTACTTGCACAACACTGTACTAAAATCAGAATTGCAGCTTAAAACATTTTGATGAACTCTATGTCAATAAGTAGCCTTTTTAGTTGTAATCTTGATTCTAGTAGAGAATGATGTACAATAAAATACTGTGTGAAGAAGTGATGGGAGAACTCTTCCAAATGATTAACTGCCTGTGACAGACAAATTTGTTTGAATCTTGCAATCAATCATCTCTGATAATATAATAAACCCCTAAACCACCGTTCGGTGACTGAACACATTGGGAATGAGCAAGAGTTTCTCGATTAATAATAATCGAATAATATTTCGGAAATGATTGATATACTTACCACTATTGAATAACCTGATGATGGTTTCAAAATAACCAATAAATGATTTTACTAGGCAGTGGAAGAAATGCTAATCAGTATAGGTACTTATCATCTGGAGAGGAAATGTCTCCATTTTTTATCTTCAGAAATCGTGTTACATACCTATTCCATTGTACCATTACGTCATAGTGCACATGATATTGTATGTATTTATCTCGACTTATCTACTCCTTTACTGAAAAAAGTTGGGTATGTCTTGTCATCGGATGAACTGATCGCCAAGATTACAAAAACCAAGTAGAATATTATCAATGAAAAATAGAGATGTTTCTGATTTCTTCAGACGACGTGAAGGGACTACAAAACTATAAGTACTTAAGTATATGTATATAATCGTGTTCGATGCATGGAAACAGTATACCTAATACTATGAGTTACGAAACGACGATTCTTTTAAAACTACCAAGAGACTGAAGTGTCTGACTTACTGAGATGACGTAACAACGCCCTAACAACGTCCCTACAAAGTCTAACAACCTAATCACAACAGACCGAATGAGAGAATGAGTCGTTATTGTTAGTTTTTCTCATTTATTTAACAATTTTCTGGAAAAGATTTATTCGCGAATTCATTCATTCCGAGAGTCATTCGCATTTTTTTACAATAATTCTATATCAAACTACTCTGTTAGACCGCTTAAGTCTTACCGATGCATGCTATTTATATTCAAATATGAGTACCTACACTCAGAGAAATAGTAGGTAGGTACTCTTTTGTAGTGGTAATATTTGATATAGTATAGTTTTTTATACAATTTTGTAGTGGTATTATTAGATGAATGTTGGGACTGGCGCTTATTTTACTAAACGTTTGGTAGTCACTATATACCGACTATTTTTTTCAGTGTAGCTAGTGATATTATATTTATATTTAATGAAGAGTTGAACGGTGTTTTCCTCGAACTGGAGACTATATAAACGTGTATATATATAAGAATCTGCGGTAGATAGGTACTATGAAAATGATTGAAATTGACAAATAACCCTTTTTGTCAATGATTTTCTGAATTTAAATCTGATTTGTGCATTCATCAATTATCCCTATGAACGTAGACTTGCACTTCATCAGGTATATCATGAAACGAATTTGGAAAATGATACCTGGTTATAGTGAGCATACCAACTTATTATTATTGGCATCCTAAACCAGTTTTATTCTCACTCATAGCCGTGTTATTTCTATATGAATTCCTAGAAACGAATAATCTAGTAAAAACATTTTGAATCAAATTCTTCCACAAATCCCAACACTTATATGATGTAGATCGTTCTCACTGAACCTGTTTGTATGGGCCAAACCGAGGGCCAAACATTATTAGTCATGCCACACTACAATAGCCACGCATGAACATTTCTTAATTGAATTACCTACATAAAAATGTGAAGATAAGAATTTGAACAACTCCTGATATTCCATAATTATGTACCTACCTATAGGTAGGTTTCACTCAGCATATTTTAGAATAGGTCTACTTGAGAGTACTAATAAATTATGAATTGATGTGTTCAGAGATGCCTTATAACCGTTTAGAGTACAAGAATAATGAATATTAAACATACATATGACCTATTGGTAACCTGTACAAGAACAATGGCCAGTTGGTAATTGGCCAAAGACATAAATTAGTAACTAGACCGATGCCTTAAGATCGAAACTCATGCATTAAACCGAGCATTAAAAAAATTGTACCTCCATGGAGCGTGCGCATTCAGGACTTGTCAAATATCTTACTCACTCTTACTTATGTTTCCGGACACCAGGACACACGACTCGATGACATGAATCACAATTTTGGAGTTCCTGCGCATTGCGCGAAAGCGTTTTTAGGCAAGCCTCTTAACCATACACGGAGCAAGCGGAATCTTGACACAAACAGTCGACCGCCCATCAGGGTTGCCATCTTAGCGGTTTTGTCGCTAAAACTAGAGAGTTTAGAGTATAGGTGAATGCGACATTTCAACTTGATTTGCGACGTGTCAGAATTCTAGCGTTTTCATGGAGATATTTTGATCACATGAATTTATAACGACGAATATGAATTTACATTGAGAAATTCGAGACGAGATGAGCAGGGAACAATATGACAGATGACAGGTTTTGTTATCATCATTTGTGCCACACCTTCCAACAACATTCGTATAATATTTTGTCTATTCGAAATGGTTTAGAAAACTGTAATGCTTGTTGCATAGTTCTTTATTACACAAGGAAAAAAAGTCTACCGACGCGTAGCGGATGGAGACAGAAAACCGTGATCAAGATGATCAAAAATGTCGCTTAATCACGGAAATAGGTGACTGAATTTTGAAAAATTTCGCCTGCGCCGGGCTTTTTGCTCGTTTTGCTCGCTAGCAATTTCTAGCGTTTTTTTTTTCGTAACTTTTTGCGACATTTCATGTTCAGGAGCTGGCAACACTGCCGCGCATCCCACTCTCACAGACTCATGGTTAGACCGACAGGTAGCGACAGATTTTCGAACGTGATTTGACCCAGTATATGCCTCTGGGAGGGTACCATTATGCGAGGGGTAAATCTCCAGGAAACATGTGTACACCAGACTTCCAATTAACATAGACTTCCAAAGACTTCCAAAGACTTCCAAATACTTCCAAAGACTCCCAAAGACTTCCAAAGACTTCCAAAGACATCCAAAGACTTCCAGAGACATCCAAAGAATTCCAAAGACTTCCAACGGAGTGTACACCAGACTTCCAAGAAGATTTACCCCTCGCCATTATGTGTATATTTTGATGTTAATAAATGATACATGGAACCCACTAAGCAAATTTGGAAGCTATATATTGATGCAAGGTTGAAGCAATTATTGAAACGGACGCTCAGCAGTGCAAATGAAACTTTGTAAATGTACCGTTCCAGCAATGCCACATCAGCGACATGTAATATGTAATATTGCTGCAACGGTACATTATCAAACTTCACCTTCACAATATTGCTGAACGTTCGTTTCAGTAATTGCTTCAACATTGGATTAACATAGTTTCCAAATTTGCATTAAGGCATGTTTTCAAAAGGTTTAGGTGTACTTGGACACGCGCAAACGGTTTGCATTTTTTCCGTGGCACACTCGGTAGTATATATATGTACATATAGAACAAGTATGTACACTTCTTTAGGCGGCAGCCTGTTTGAAAACGAGTGAAAATATTTTTTTTTATATGCAACTACACCTTACCGTGATTTCCTTTCCGTCTGACGCAACCGGTATGTGCCTTTGTATATTCAACTATACGCATACATCACTTATTTTTGATATTGGAACACAGGAATCTTGAATGAAATCGTATCAAAACGCTTATAGGTAATTTGCGAACAAATGTATGAATGTTAATGAACTTTAATGCATAAACCTCGGCATAAACCCGGGAGGATGCTTTCATGTATATCATTTTAGGACATCAAAATAAATACATATTAATATACCCTCCAAAAGACTGAAATCTGATGTCACTACCTGCTGGTCTAAGTGGAAAAAAATACTTGTGCAACCTCAGACACTCTATTTAATATAGTTATCTATAATAAAAATTGTCTTCATTTATATAGAGGTGAAAATGATTATATAATGAAAAATAGAAGAAAAAATAGAAAGAAACTGGGATAAATACCTACTCCTTCTGGTCACATAATGAAAGTAATAGATCATTCGTCATTTAATACAGATATATTTACTTTCAGAATCTTTCTCGCAAGAAAAATGTTAATTGTAATGGAATCTAAGTATACCTACATAGCTGCGCCAGCTGCACCTATTTGAGAAATATAATATTCAAAAATCTTCAGTAGATATGCCAGAACGGAGGCCAAAACGTTTGAGGTGAAAATCTCCGCGAAAAAAAAAATTTCGTTGACTGATTTTATGAGAAATATCAATAAAACACTAATTTACCAACAAATGACAATCCAAATACTTACCAAGGAGTAAGGTATCGACGAGGGTATCGATAATGAACTCCTCTAACTGGTGGTAATTGTTATCTCATTACTTGGTAGACACTCTAGATACTGGATGAAAAACATTGAAGCTACTGAGAACTATTATGAAAAACCGAGTGAAAAACGTGTCGGTACCCATTTGATACCTACGTAGGATTCTAACTCATTCTCAATGTTGTGATTTAAGCTTTATTGGATATCCCTGAAGTTCGGAAAATAATTTCCAAATCGGCATGGCCAATTGCTCTTTGCCAATTGAATTTTGAAGCACTCGAAGCAGATAAATGATAAGCATGGTATACCCATCCACCAGTTGATGATGTGAACTGGGCGATAACCAAATCGATTGGCCTAAAGTACAAAGTTTGGTAAATGAAAAGGTAGGTAATGTAACCTTATACACCAACATCACACTCGGTATAATATTGGACCACGTGAATTCAATAGAAATCACAACTCAAACAACAAGAACAATAATGGCCGTCTAATTTGGATTGTATTATTGAAGAATGTAATTTTATGAGCTGGTTTATTGTTATGACCCTCTAAATGGCTATTAAACGCATGTTTACGACAGTATTTTCGAAAGATTGAGCTACTATATAGTTAGGTATAGTGTCTAGTAGAAAATGTCATTCATTTAGGTACCGACGGAAGCGGACAGATGGTTACAACAGGGTATCATAAAACCATTTCATGACTAATGATATGTCTAAAAATGTGGTTAATTTGAGTAGGTATCCGCATTGCGCATCACCATTGTTGATCAACAATATTGCATGCGCTTGATCGCATAACAATACAGTCCTGTATCAGAAGCAGAAAGCTGATAGCAGTCAGCTGTTTTTAAAGAGCATATTGATACCTATATAACTGCGACCAATCTAAGAGCCATAAAAACGATATAAAGTCCATAATCATATACCTAGTAATTATTGTAAACAGAAGTTGTGGATATATAGTTCCGTATAGTTCTAATAGTATGAGTAAATTGATGAGAATATTTATAGGTGGGATATATGAAATTGCGAATGAAAAAGTCACGCATGCGTTGTACAGTGTAATCAGTTACATTTGTGGAAGTTACCTATACCTAACCCATAATAATACATTGGCTAGGTATACGCATAATTACCAAATGGTGCCAGTATCGATTGAAGTATAGTTTATTCAAAAACAATTGCAGAATCTTGTACTGCACCAGCATTCACTTCAAAAGGAAACTTCAAACACGCCGACGCCGCACAGTGCGGGATATTCTGCAATTAATATTGAATATACTTTACCTACATTGATTGAATTATCCCAAATAGCATCAAGAATATATTAATTAATGCATCATCACTATTTCATAACGTCAAGGTCAATTTGAGTTTTGTATTTCGTTATAATTAAATATGAATACCTAATGCGATTCACGCTTTCATGGTGCGACTGCAATATACCTATACACACGTATCAAGCTTTGGTAACTATTCAATTGATTAAAATGATCGAAAAAGACACTCACCTGTGATTGACATCCAGGGATATCTAGGAATATCAGGAATCGGTTGTCCGCCGGGAGCCGTAGATTGTGAGCAGGAATTCAATGGGTCGACCACGGCACTGGCTGCTTGGTGGTAGAATTGGGCAGCCACCGCCATCGAAGCTGAGGCGGCACTCACCGAGCTAGCTGCCGAAACCGCAGCCCCATTCTGATGGTGGTGCCCCAAAGTGTAATTCACCATCGAATCCGAAGGGGCCACGTTACCCGTTAGGCCTGCCGTGTACCTGCAAGACTTGTCTGTGGCAGCGTCTACTGCAGCGGCAGCTGCCAAGGCAGCGGTGCTGGCCGTGGGAAAGCCCCCGGGGACCATGCTCCCTGAAGCTGCTGCAGCACCAAACGCAGCTGCAGCTACGGCCTGCTGCTGCTGGTGGTGATGATGAGCAGCGGCGGTAGCGGCTGACACGTAGGGGTACATTCTGGAGGCTGGGGAAGTCGAAGAAGCGCTGCTGTTCGAGTGTTGAGGAGAAGAACCACTAGGCGACCCGGAGGAGCTGTAGTTGACGACGGAAGCGAGACTGGCCTCGATGGAAGATGTGCTTACAGGACTTTGGAACAATTGTTGATGATGGAATTGTTGGTGGTACTTTGGCAGCATGCTATCAATGATGAATTTGGAACTCATCGCTCTCGCGCAATGCTCCAATCACTACACCGACGCGCACTATTTACCATAGTCCATGTGATCGCACACGGTTTTCGTTTTACGACCGGCCACTTACAGTGTAATAATCGACAATGTCGTTTAACCCTATTGCAGAGTATTTTCTTACGCGTCCTTCTCCTCTACTTCTTCGAATCCTTTATGACCCATGTATGTTCAGTCTATAGCCCTCTATGCCTTATTCACGGTACTAGAGAGTAATGGCGCCCCTCCACGTTCGTGCCAATCCGAGCAGGTGCTGTTCCGGCCAATGGGGGACGGAGTTAGGCACGCGGCGCTCGATACACGCCGGCCCACGGCCACGGCATGCTACGATCGACACGCAAGCGGAGGTTACGCTCTATTCCGCGATCCGCCGTCACCAGTTTTGAGCTGGAGCTGAATACAACCTTTCCTCTCTTTTCACTCATTAGAACTCAGAATATGGATTGTTCCTAATGTACATGAAATGCACGTATACGTATACCTACTTGATGGGATGTTCTTAATGAGATGGATTTCAATTATTTTGTGAGTGAAGGTGTTGTAGTCGTTGCCCAATATCCCATTCACTTGGGTGGAAGGTCTGTCTGCAAGACTGTAGTGCCATCTCTCTATCGCCAGAAGAAGTTCAGATCCTTCCTATAGATGTGGCGTATATGCCTACAGCCTACCATATAGATTTTACTTCCGCGACTCCTAGTCAGGGGAAGATAATATTTATGCACTATTTTTTTCTTGGACTCTGAAATCTGATACCTACCAAGTTATCATGATGACAAGATGTTTTGAATTTTATTAGTTCACCATATATTTCTATTACCATTAATTTTTGAAGTCTATATCGTATATAAGGTACAACCTCTATTGATTCATGATTCATTGATTTTTTATGAGAAATTTGTATGCAATGGAAAAGCTTGTGCATTTTTCCTAAATATTTGAAAATATCTTCAAAACAAAACTTATGTAGAAGACTTTTTTCTACGTGGGAAAAATTTCAGGAGGTATAGGTACATTTATGATAGAATTCAGAGAAATCATAATCTCATCTCATCTTCATAAAATGTGAGAAACTAGCTCCTGGAAAGTGCTTCTGCTTCGACAAAACTGAAAAAAAACGGTAAATTTTTTTCTTGGTTCTAGGTTCTGGGTTCTCAGGCAAGCTATATATACCTTTTGTCAAAGTAATAACGAAATAGACAACCAAGGTTCGCGAGGAACTGATTAAAGAACAAATCGAATAATGCTCAAGCAGATATTGAGGGGGTTATAAGAACCAATGCCATGTAGATGAAAATCTGAAGTGCCTCCCAACCCACCCTCACTCTCCCTCTAATTATAAAATTATTTCAAAATGCAACTTTATATTGGTGCGTCAAAGAGAGATGGTTTTTTTTAACAATATGCGTAATTGGCCACCGTGCTCCCCGGATAGGGGGGCTCCAGTGACCACAAAACGGGTTTTCTTGCAATTTTAGGAACTGGTCAGGCGGCGAGAGACTTGATTCAACGAATATCATAGTCTGCGTCTGGCAATGCGTTGGTACAGTATCAAATAACATCCGGGGGCTCTTTTAACCCAAGTAGGGCTCCGCGGAGCACGACATCGCGTTCCGATGGACAACTGCAGAATTGCAGATGCGGTTTTTTCTTCCACATGCTATGCAAGACCGCAGCAAAGCATCTTCCTGCACTCTCGACGTGTGTGTGTGATGGGGACCTCGAAGGTCCCGAAGGGGGTCTCGATAAGGGTCTTGTATTGTGCGTCTCAAAGAGATGCGGTTTTATACGGCATGTGGGTAATATAAGATTTGAATTCGGCTGTTCCCACGAAAATGTTGTTCAAGCCTCTTCTCTCCCGCGGAGAGAGGCCAACAGATTTCAATTAGCTTATTTACCGGCGATGATCGTGGCCAGCGTTTGGTAAAGAGCTTATACATTCACTGAGAATGAAAGAGTCCTGATCATGACCAGATTTTGGGCGAGGAGGCTTTTACCGCTTTTATCTTCCAATTCCCCAGCAAAATTCAATATACAAGCTTCCCTTCGGTCCTGATCATGACAATTTTATTCTGTGTTACAAATTGTCTTGACTACATGTAAATTTCGCGCCGTTACACCCTAAAAAGTTGTTTTTTGGTCTAACTTTATCTAGAGCGAAACAATGCAATGCTTTAGCAGTCACCTTCTGGGAGGAAATCTCTCACAACCATGTAGGACCTTACCAGTCTAGCAGATTGGGAATGGTGTCGCAGGGACCAGTGCGGCATGTGGGAGCCAATAAAAATCACCAGTGCAAACTCTCTTCGTACTCCTGTTTTTTTAGGAAATTCCTATAATGCTCCAAGAACATCGTGCGTACCTAGGGAGGATGGAGAGGAGGTAGATGTTGTATTTTTTTTGGTACTTTTGGAGATTATAAGTTCTTGGAAATACTTCCTTATAGGCAATGAATTCCAGAGCTTTCCGTTCTGTAGGAAAACGGGTTTTGATATAGTGCTGTTCGACATATTTCGAGGTTGACAACGAATGGATGTGCTGACTGCGCTTTTCGAGTTCGTCTGACTGGTATTGCTAGTCGTGAAATGATAGCAGAGATTTCTGAAGAACATTTCCCGTGAAAGTATCTATATGAAAGAGTGAAAAGTCGCCGGCCTTCCTACAGTGTTTCAATGATGTCAAAGTGTTAGTGAGTGTGGCATCACCCACCAGGTGAATGGCTCTTCTCTGGATGGAATCTAAGAGCATCAGAGTTTGGGTGCTGAACCCCATATATGGGAACTGTATTTCAGAACAGGTCGTATCTGTGCTTTGTAAATCATGAGAAGCTGTTGAGGTGTAAAGTAACTTTTCGCACGGAATAAAAATCCGAGTTTTTGTGAAGCAGCTTTCGCGATGGATTTGACATGATCATCCCATGAAAGAGTATTGCTGATGATGGACAGTGGAATTGTTTGGACCTGTGCAGGTCAATCTGAGGACTCCGGCGACTAACCTATTGTCAGAAGAGTTACCTTCCTCAATGTTTCTGATAATTGGTCGAAAATTATACTTGTAACGGTCTTAGGTTTGGTAGGTTAACTGATTGAAACGCAGATGGTTCTTCAAAATCACGTAGTTGAGCGAAAAGTCGAGAACCCAAAAATTTCCCTCACCATCAGGACAGTGCTTCACTCAATATAAAATGTGATGCAATCACAATTAAGTAGACAAAAGGTTGATATGAGTTACTTGTGATCGGGAGGGCCGGTCAAAAAATCACAGTCATAAAAGAGTTCAACCTTCTACCAATATGTAATGTGAAACAATACGACACCAATTTTCGCGCACTAGTGCGGTAAAATGCTACTTCACCCGAACATGCAGTGGAAACAAAATCATTTGAAATTTAACTTTTTTACTCAAAAAAAGAAATATAAGGTAATAATCAGGTACAAGAGTTTCAATTGTTTCATTTGTGACATTTTCTGAATCTGAAACCATACTATCGTGATCGAGTTTCAAGTCGATGAATTTTTTTCTCAAATTGAAATGAACGCGTTAAATTTGAAAGTTAACAGAATGAGTGACAAACGAGTAAACAACAGATTTACAAGTACACCCAACCATTGCAAGACTTGCTTTTTTTATATTCCTAATGAATCGTTAATTCTATATAGGAATACTATATTTGATGAAATAATTAGCGTTTTTGGTAGTAGGTAAAATATTGTACTATTCGTATCGTGAATTCAGATTACGATAGTCGATGGGTTATCAAACTCGGCCTGTCTAATATCGTAATATATAAACTCATCACCTCGCTACTAAAATTGAAATCGCTGGTAGGTATACCCCTATCCAAATCAAAAATTACGCACATGCCGAAAAACAACCGCATCTCGTTGGAACCGTTTAAAAGTTATCCTTATCGAGGCTGCGGCTCCCCTTAGGACAAGAGCATAACGTTGCTTTGTTGCGGTCTTGCATAGTATATAAAAAAAGGAAAAGGTGGGTAGAGGCATAGACTACAGAAGATAATCTTCTTTGGTAGAGGATCCCACACCACCCCTGCTCTCCTGAGAAGGCCTAATATCATTGTTTGGATCAGAGAGGTTAGGACTTTGTATAAAATTTTGGTGAGAAAGGAGCACGGGACTAGAACTCTGAATCGTCCTGGTAACTCGTCGAAAGTCTCTTGGTATCATCTTCGGGGTATTTGGCTAGCAAGGAGAGTTTGGAGTGGTGTTTCTTACAAAATAATGTTTTACGAAAGTGAAACTTTATAACAGCTGCGGCGTCAACCTTGAAAACTGTCGAACAACACTCTACCAAAGCTCGCTCGTCAACAGAACGGAATAGCTTTGAAAATCTTTGCCAATGGAAGTATTCTCAAGAACTCATAACCTCCAGAAGTTCAAAAAAATATCAACACATATCTCCTCTCCTTATCCTCCCTATATATAGGTACGCAGGATGTTCCATGAACATTGTGAGAATTTTCTTTTGTGCGCTTCAAAAAATGAGAAATTAGAATTTTGAATTTGAATAATTAGTCTAAAACTTTCATGAATAAAGAAGAAGAAGGTTGAGGCAGAATTTTGAAAGTCTCAGTCGAAGGCGTATCTGGGACGAAGCATGTAGATCAATCTGGAATATTCATCTTGCTGATCCTATGCGGATGGTAGTTGATGTTGCCATGACTAGAAACAAGTAGGATAGTATTTCTATGAAGCGGTATGTTGTGCAAGGAGATCCATTCCTCGATAGAGGAGACGATTTCGTGGACGATTCTCGCCTCGGTTGAAGAGTCCCACTCAGCCTGCCACGTGGGAGGATGTTGGCCTTCGATTGTAGTCTAGTATTAGTAATCAGCTGCGATGATCACTCTGCCAAGGAAGTGAGATCGGCAGCTTTTCCTGACGTTGGGGACTGCCTCGATATTTTAGAGTCCGAGGTGGATCAGTACACCCTTGACCAGCACACAGAGCGATTCGTTA